AGGGTCCCCTCGATGTACATATAAAGTATTTGAATATAAGGGGCCTTTTCTGAGGTAAAGAAAACTACAATCATACAATTTGGATGAAGCGAACTAGAAAACATCATGAAGATTATTCTACATTAAATTTCTGCCAATAGATCCCTTTCACCTAAATCTTACACACTGGACCTTTAAAGACCAGTGTGGGGTACAGAGGATTAATTAAAAGAAATAGAATATAATATTCAACTTATGTTGTTATAGTGTATTATCACATTAAGGTAAGAACCCTTGTGTTCTTATTAAGATAGAATGAGCCCTTCTACTTAAGGAGTGAATCCTCTTCTATGGAATCAACCATGTTTCATTACGATGTTGCTGCAGTTGCCCAGAGAGGAGAAACTCTAGAGGGACCTTCATGTTTTTATGTTATCTGGAGGCCACTTTAGGTTCTCCTACTCATTTGGAAAGTAGGGTGAGGGGAGGGTAATTCAGCTGGTTGTAATATAAAACTTCAGCACTAGATGGCTATGATCCTAAACACTGAAAATTCAGTTTTAAAGAAATATGACAACTTAATAGGACAGTAACAATTCTCAAACAGAGACTGAAATCGCAGTCAAAACATGCGTTGTTCTGTTTCCTGCAATCACGACACATCTTCCTGCCAAACCCCACACACTGCCACAACTGCGGGTGCAGCCTGTTGAGTTCTAATTAGGTTACGCCTGGGAAACATTGGCTGCGGTTGCGCCGCAGATCGGCTGCGTTTCCCGGTTCTGCTGTGTATCATGGTTGTCTGTGTCTCAGCAGTGGAGCTGATACTGCCAGCATCATGTTTTTACATTGGGTTTGCTTTGAAAATGGCCATAAATTTGTGTGTGTGAGAGAGAGACAGAGAGAGAGAGAGAGAGAGAGAGAGAGAAGGAGCAGAAAGTGCAGGGCTTCATACTGTACAATACTTGTATTTATTTGAGTACACAGGACTACTTTATACAAGGAAATACAATAGTTATACCAGAAACCTCAGATAGGCTGTAGATATATTCAAAGAACTTCAGGGGATGGGCAGTAGGCAGTCTAATATTTTGAGCTAAATAAGCAATCAATGCCATGGCTGAGATTTCCACCTAAACACTGTGTTAAACAAATACCAGTCTGAAAAAAATGGGTTCAAACAGTCAGGGTTTGTGATGCCACAAACCTATGAAACCAATCCTGTCAACTTGTGGGTGGGGCTCAGTAGTGGAAATGGCTCCTCAACTGCAAGTTAACTGTTAAGGTAGGAGCAGGAGCCAGGGAAATTTCTCATGACAACAATATTGTTTTGGTCACTTGGGAGCAGCCTAATAAGCTGTAAGCACATACATGTACTAGCTAATATGTTGCCAAACATTTGTCAATTGATCATTGAGCCAACACAGAGCAACATTAGCTTTCAAATGAAGTCATGTTTGTGTCCACATACTGAATATATTCACTCTCCCTAAAACTGGTTTGCTCTCAACCAACTCCTGAGAAAAATATATATGACTCTTTAGCTGCTTAATACTTTGTGTCCATCCCCTGCAGGTAGTTTTACGCTGCATGCTGCTGCTGGAATCAAAATTGAAGATAACATCATGTGGGCTGTAAAACTAAAGCAATGAGCAGATGCTAAAACTCCACAAGAAAAAGCTCCACAGAGTTCAGTGGCTCTGCATTATTGGTGGTTATATTAAGCAATGATTTGATTCATAGCAAAAAATATTAGATTATTGCAGCTTTGACCAAAAAATACCTTAAAGTAACACTATGCATCTTTTACTGCAAAACAGCTCCCTCTGCAGCCCCATGTGGTGATTAATTCTGATGGGCACCGTGTCCGAGAAATTAAGTGGTTTTTCATCAAGCAAAAAACAAAGCCTTTCAATCTCTTGACTGAAGCTCTGAATCCGTAGTCCCAGTCACTGTACTGGAACACAATTGAGCATGATCCCCGGCTACTTGAAGGAGAGGAGCTGCTGCTATAACAAATATGATGAATATTTGAGATAAAAGTCATTAAAAACCAGAGTCTAAGCCTTTCAACAGTCTGGGTGAACATTTGTGAGAATAGTCTTTGAGAGATACTCATTACCAAGCTAATCACAGCTGATTGGACATTTCTCAATAAATTATAAACCGTTTTCAGATATGAAGTCCGGAGAATGTCATAAAATTGGGTCCACAATTCATCAACACGCCCCCTTGCTCGTAGGGAATCTTTCAGATAATCTCCTGCTGTATTCTGATATGGTCTTACTCTGACATTATCTAGAGTTTTTACCTGGGGGCTAGCAGGGAGAACGACGGTTTTAACATACAGCATCTCTGGAGAATGTCAGGAGAATGTCAGGAGTTCATTGCATGTCTATCAGATCATAATCCATCCTCAATGCATCATGGGTACATTTACACCTGCACTTTCAAATGGTCGAGCTGCATCTGACTGCAATCCAATCACCCAAAAGACATTTAATGCTATGTCTAAATGGAGTAATAGCTAAAGTATTTAATTTTGTAGCCTACTTAAAAACAAAATAAATCACTGTATCTAACTTACACGGTTATGCATAAATAAGCTATGGTAGCCAGAAAATTATTACATTGAGATACATAGATTGAATTAATGTTAGTGTCTATGGTGACTTGGCAGGCAAACAGAACTAGGCTGTGTTCACACAAAACAAATTTGTTTGATGAAAGCTGGTAGTCAAAGCATATTTTCATATGAATACATGTACCAAATACAGTTAAGGGTGTTTTTTTTATTATGATCAGAAGCAGGAAGCTACCATTAGGTAAAAAGTTAATTTTGCTAGCAACTGAAAACATAAACAAAAGTCCACAACCAAGGGAAAACACCTAATCAAACAAAATATTTGCCAGTGGGGTGAATATGGTCAGCAACAAGAGTCAGGTTGACTGGGACATTCAACCCATGTATGATAAGTATTAGAGTCCCAAAGTGTGTCAAGAAAACACTCCCCACACCATCACACCACCAACAGACTTGACTGTTGACACAAGACAGGTTGGCTCCATGGGTTCATGCTGTCGACACCAGATTGTGACTCTACTATCTGCAGCCTCAGCAGAAATCCTGAATCATTAAACCAGACTATGTTTTCAACTGTCCAGTGTTGGTGAGTCTGTGTCCCTGCAGCCTCACATGTCTGTTATTGGCTGACAGGAGTTGAACCTGATGTGGTCTCTGCTGTTGTAGACCATCCACCTCAAGGTTGGACATGTTCATTCCGATATGCTTTGTGCTTACCACAGTTTAAAAAAAATGGTTATCTGAGTCACTGCGGCCTCTTTGTCAGTTCCTCATCAGCACAGATCAGTTGTTCGCTTAATTGTTTTTGTTTGCTTTCCTGTCTATTAAAATCTCTTAACAAGTATGAAAATACCAGTTTTTCAGAAATACTCAAATAAGTGTCTGACACCAACAATCGAACCACTGTCAAATTCACAAAGATCTCATTTGTTTTATCATTCTGAGGTTCGATGTTAACTTTAACCAGAGATCTTGACCTGTGTCTGAAGGATGCTTTGCACCACACTGCAGTCACATCATTGGCTCATTGGATAGTTGTCTGAATAAGCAGGTGTACAGGTGTTCCTTAAAAAATCACTAGAGGAGCCTATAATGGACTTTGAGGAAAAGATTAAGGCTTCATCCCAAAAATAGAGGGACCACATACCACAAGCGTGTTAGCTTAACAGCAAAAAAAAAAATAACGTCATGCATATGTAAGGACAGTGTGTTCTTCTTCATATTCAAATGCACGTTGTAATCTCGGTTGCCAAACAGTGTTTTTATTTGTATGCATGTAGTTGCAGAGGCTGGCCTGCCTGCCCAGAGGGCTCTGTTTATATCTCTCAGACTGCTAGGCCCCAGTGTTGCCATTGAAGCCACAGTCCCACCAGCTGACGACGAATGTCTTTTTTTCCCGTTTCGACCACGGTAAACAACCTCGATGTGACGAATCCAATTGAAAACTTTCACCGTGCGCAGAATTGTCTGAGAATCCGTGTAATCGTCCGTCTCCTGCGGCTCAGGGAGCGCAGTTAATCTTCGACAGAGCAGCTGCATCATCATCACCACACAGGCATCCATGTCCTCGCGTCTTCGACCGAGCGAGGGTCATGACAATATAACCTCATTATTCTATGTGCTGGTATTAAACGATTCCGCTCAAAACGCCGACGTAACGAGCGAATGATACATTGACAGCATAAAATGTGGTGTGCTGAAACATTACTGATGTGATGATAGAAACCACAACATTGGCTGAGGATCAGATTGTGAAAAACGTAAACGATGATATGAACCTCCTCGGTGGTTATAGCGTCAAACATCTGATCCCCTACTGTATTACGACCCAATTAGAAAGCTAGGCAACTAGCCTAGCATATGCATATGTCCCGATATGGCCACTTCAAGCTAGAGTGTTTCGCTAAATCGAATTAGCTATGGAAAAATTGACAATTTTAGGTGCTCCGGCTTACTGTGATTGTTTTCAACGCTTTAAACAATTCGCACCGCCTCTGTTGGAATAGTATCAGTCCGTTTTACAATTCGGCTTACACCTTTTTTACAAAACTGGCCATATTTGTGCAAAAATTGAGTAGTCTGAGCTGCTACGTCTGTTATTTCCACTAGCTTCTCGCACCAAAACACGACATGACGCCTGATGGCAAATGGTGGGTAAAATGATTAAAGTTGAGATTTCATTTAGATGGATGCGTGCTATACTTAAGCCGAATGGAAGAGGAGCGTGTCATCTATTGGAAATCATCAGTGTTCAATCCGTCAATGCAGGCATCGTGTTCATTCATCCCCGAAACCATTGATTTGACAGTTTATTAAAGGTAGGTTCGCGTGGCGGTTGCCACATCAGAGACAGGAGCGGCGCTTAGCATGACAAGCTATCTGAACGATGATGGGTGCATTACGGATAAACTTCCTCCGCGTTAAAGGACGGCATTACCTTTAGAGAGCGGCGGATGGTGGGGGCGTTCAGGTGAGCCTCTGCTGTCCGGCGGTGACAGTCTCTGCCTGCGGACCAGCCTGCCGTCCGAGCCGCTTCCACTCGGGTTGGCGGGACTGGAGCAACGGGACGTCGTCGGTCCTGTGTTGCTCCCGGCTACTGAGGAGGAGGAGGAGGAGGAGGAGGAGGAAGACGCGGAGCGGGTTGGGCTGAGCTGGTTTCCATGCAAAAGCTGGTACGGCACCGTGGCGCGGATGGGCTGCGACCGGACCGCGGAGGTGTTGTTGTTGTTGTTGGCGAAGGAGGAGCAGGGGGAAGTGGGGGAGCGGCTGAGCGTGCCTGCTGCTGCCGCTGCCGCCGCCGCTGCTGCTGTGGATGCTGACATGATCCGTCACTTCCACTCGAGAAGTAAAATACCACGTCCAGGCGAACAGGTCGCAGCCTAACGTCGCGCTTTCATATTCACGAACACGACACACGCGCGACTCATCTGCACAAACTTTCCACGTCGGATCCCCAAAGTTACTGACAGTTCAGTCCCGACGTCCACTGCGATCGCTCACGTTGCGCGTGTGCGAGGGCAGCGACAACTGTCGAGAACAAGAAGAGCGCACCAGAGACTTTCACGAACTTTTCTACCGGGACCTCGGTTAGCCTCGTGTTGCGTTCCTCGCTCCTCCTGGGTCTGTAGTTTCCTTCTTCTTCTTCTTCTTCTTCTTCTTCTCTGGTACCACGCACACCACAGACAGCTGCTGTCAGCTCCAACAACTTCTGACACAAGAGGCTGGACTTCGGGTGAGGTCCTCTCCGATTGGTCCCGCACGACTTCCTGGGCAAGTCGCTAATGTGTTCAATGGCTTCATGGAGGCTTCAGCCAGTGTGCTGAATGAAAAGAAGAGGAGAAACTATAAAAACAAACTGACTTCGTGTTTGGTTCCTCTTTAAAGATTCATTTCCAGAAAATCAATCTTGAGTGAAGGCATGGATTTCATTTAAATGTCCTCATTCTTGTTTTGTAATTTTTTTATTCACGAATGGAAATGGTCCAAATGAAATACTCACCAGTCCAAGCATACAATAAAACTACACAATAAAACTACACAAAACACCAAACGCACTGACAAATCAGAAAGCATCTGTAGTTGATTACAATTCTGACAACTTCTTTTTAATTTCATAATCCTTTTTCTTGTTATTATTTTATGTTCTGCATTTTCTTTTATAATCATTGAATAAAATAAGCGAAAAAAAAGATTTAACAACATTAATCAGAAGTAATTTCAGACCGTGCTATTGGTTGGTGACCACTGTAAAGGAGCCGTACATATAACAGGCTAAACTTTCCGTGACACTTTTTTTTTAACTGGGCACATAAATTATCACAAAGTTTAACCTAATTGATTTTTCACTTTTTCACATATCATCATTACAAAGAACTGAACTCAAGCTGTGTGGGATGGTGTTTGCTATAACTGACGGTTGTACACCTAAACACAGACTACAACATTACTGAAAATCATTTTCTGTTCCTAATTGACCTGAAAAAGAATATGCATCTTTGACTTCTGACACTTGACATATAGAGGTGGCATTAAGTCATTGTTTTACAAGTCTCAAGGTTTTACTGTAAAGTCCCCAGTCGAGACCAAGTGAAGAACCAGTCTCAAACCAAGTCTCAGGTCACAAGTGAAGAATGAGTCTCACATTAAGATGAGCAAGTCAAAAAGGTCAACATGTTCCAAATCAGGGTTAACAAGTTCTAGTCAAGAAAGGTACAGCATGTCCCCAATCTTGTCCCAAGTCAAAACCAACAAGACAAGAGTGATGAATAGGAAGTCCCAAGTCAGAACAAAAGGTACCACGTTAAGACCATTATGTCCCATCAAAGGAACAAGTCTCACATTGACACCACCAATAGATCCAGGCTTACAATTTCCAGATCAAGACGAGTGAGTCTCACGTGCTGTGAGACTAAAATAATTATTTTTGAAGATAGAATATAACCTGGTATATTGATATTTCGTAACAGTTTGATACTGTTATTCCTTTAAAATTATCATCCAAGTAACAAAAGAATTTAAAGAGACAAAACACCACATCCTTCTTCAAATTTATTTGTAAAGTAAGTTGCCTTCCACAGTTACAACCAGGAGAATACCATACCAGCATGAACTTATTTTAGTGACATATTAGTGAGAGGGAAAGGTACAATTCGAATGGTATGGGCTGCATATTAAAGGCACAACAGGTTTTAAGAGACCCAGTTTGATCATGTATAAACAATCAGAGGTGTAAACACAGTATTGCTGCACAGTACAGCTCACTCTGCAAAAAAATTCTGTGCTGAGTTTAAATGTTTATCAAACTAAGTCAGAACAAAGGACAATACAACGGTTAAGATGTCAGTTCATCCAGCTTCATGTACTCTGCTGAGACCATGGTTCAAACCAGGAGGTACAGATTTAAGACAAACTAAAAACTAACCCCTGTATTTTTACAGTATGTATCAACAACAAAGCACAAAAGATAGCTAAGATGTATTCATTCCACCACAATCTGTCAAATGTAGACTCTAACACAGCACAACTTATCACACTTATCATGTAAGTTGAGCACAATAGAGACTTATCAGTGAGTTGATGAGCTGAAAGACGATGGGAGACACATGCAGAGAGTGGCACAAAGTCTATTTACTAATGTTAAGTTAAAAGAATACATGGTAAAAACTTAAATTTACCTACACAAACAGCAAGTGACTTCACATGATATGCAGTTCCACATGACTGTTCGGTACCATTTAGAGATGGGGCTCGTGCTATTCACAACATTCAGTTTTCCAACATGTAAAAAGAGTTATTTCAGTTTCGTTTGTGAGAGATTCACTCTGAACACCAGTATATTGAGCGTGGTCGGAACTAATCATGAGTATATTTTACCCTTCACCTTCCCTCTCATGAACAGTGTGTTCCATAAACACGTAAAAGGAAAGACTAAAGGAAAATGCAGATAATGCAACCTTGTAATAATGGTAGAAAAATATATGATGGATCAAAAGGAAGGCCATATTCATGAACGGGATTGAAAACACACAAAAATGTTGATCGTTGCAAGTAGTGTTGCTACCTCATATCATGTCAAATATATAAAAGGCAATGGCATCATATTAAATTATGACAGAAGACACAGAAGCTGAAGTAAGTAAAAAAAATACATTTTTCATTCAGACAATCCTCGATTGTTGCAGCTCAAACATTGTTGACCCGAGAGAGCTGCATGAATTAGTTGTTTCTATCAAGTGACTCTATTGAAGAGTTGTCCAAATGCCGAGCCACAGCATCAAATGAGCTCAAATAAAGCAGGCTTTTTCTCATAGCTTTTGAAATGACCTGGTATAATCAATACATAGCTCACAGCTCAAGGACTATGGATCAGTATGTAGTAACTTCTCAACCTTTACTTCAGGGATAATTCTAATTTCGTACAACTTGGGTCTTATCTTTATAGTTTGGGTCACCCTGTGTACCAGTAATAAAACAACAGCGCTCACATTGTGGCAACATGGAGGCTGAAGTCTGGACATGAGACAAAAGTCAGTAGTGCAAATCTAACACTGGGACGTAAACCCAGCTCCAACACGTCTTTACAACCGAACTTATCTGAACATGACTGCCACTGCCAAATTTAAGACCTAAACTTGACCCGAGAACCAATGACTACATTCATGCTTTGCTTCCGATGACCGTATTTAAAGATAGACAAACATGACAGTTCCCAAAAGCGATGCCAAATCATCTCTATCGTCCCCTGGTGGCTGGCTGCAGTGCAGGTCTCAACCCCGCCCCCTCCATTTTAGTAAATGAGGCATGGACACCTCAAACTAGTTTTTCCAAAGATCGTCTCTGTCATTTTAAGTAGTTCTTATCACACTGATGTTTGTTCAATATTCATGTTTCTGATAAAGTTTAATTAATTATTTGATGCTATAAAAACTGAAATGTCATTATTGACAGATGAGACTGACTCATGATCGGCCAAGCACATGTATCACCTTTAGACTACAGTTTCACATAATTATGTCACTAGAACAAGATAGCAGCATCCATTACCAGGACATTTTGGCTTAATTTATTTTTTACTCGCGCGTAGTCCATCTTTATATACATTCATCGTTTGCCACTGTTACCTTGTCAAGCTAATACCACATATTGGCTACAGCTCTTTGTATCTACTTGTAATAACAACAAAAAACATGACAGATTTAGATACTCAGCTACATTAGAGAGAGGAATTTAACTTTGTACATACATTTTGATAATAACCAAACCCAGAAGGACATCTAATAAGTAGATTATTGAAAAGAGGAAAGTAAAATTATTACCAAGACTATCCTTGGTAAACTACCCATCATAGTTTGTTGGACAATGTCTTGGTTCAAATTTGACCTGTCTTACTTTTTGTGAGCAATGTCAGCAACTGTCTTGGTAAGTGAAATGTTATTGACCCAAGTTGTAATAACCCATAACTATCCTGTTAACAGTGAGACAACATGATTATAACACACTGTACTCCTTGTATTCACACTGGGAGCAACACAACAGGGAACAGGGCCATTCTGTTCCAACAAAGCAATTAAGTTAGACCCTGTCATCCTCATCATTTCAATGCTTTTCAAATCAAAATCTTGTGTGTGTTTTCATGTCATTTTAGTCAGAGTTTAATTCTTTTTAATTCTACAGAATCTCATTTACTTGTTCAATAGGTTGTAGCGCTGGAACTTCTCACATAGCCAACAATCTGCTAAGTTCCCCACTCTTGTTGACAGCTCCTGATATCAACATTCGATCAAACTAGGGATTATGGAGCACTGAGTTCTCTAAAGTGAAGTCATACTGAAAATTGGCCAGGTTGTAGTTTATGTCCCGGGACAGCAGCACATCAGGAATGAGCTGGAATCCTGCCTGCATAGTCAGGACATGAGGAGCCAAAGTGAAGGGGACGTCTCCAAGGACATCCGGAAGAGTCGAAGCAGTTTCCGCTGCTGAGGGCCCTGGTGCCTGCCCTATTGTGGGTAAAGGTATATGGAGCTCTCTGTTGCCATGTTGAGGTGAAGGTGTGTAGGATGACTGTGAGGAAAAGGAGACACAGATTTACCATCAGTAAACCATCTGTTCAGAGATTACTTTCATACTCACAGTTTCTACTTTATCTGCCCCACAAACAGCAGTTGGAGGGCTCAGCACCTTACCATTTTGTAACAGAAGAAGATATAATATGTGGACTGTGTGCGACAAAAGCCACTTCCAGTTCAGTTCAAGTGAAAAAAAAAACATTATTTAAACTGTTTCATACTATTCTTTAAAGAGCTTCCTGGAACTGATCAAGAATCCTCCACTGTTTGATTTTTGTATAGCTGGCAGTTGTACCTTATCCACAATTGTTTGACAATACTGTAAGAAACACAGGCTTTTTTTAGTATACATATTTAAGTTTGTACACACTGCATGCTCAAAATTCTGTAAGAATACTCAATCAAGCAGCACCAAATTTCACATTCACATAGATTTCAGTTCCCTATAAGGCCCTGATTTTTTTCATCACGATCCATTAATTATTTCCAGGAAAACTTTTGAAAATGTAAAGATTTAAAGAAAGTTAAAAAAAAATAATCCTGAATCCACCACGATCCAGATCTGCACCAAAAGGTAACGGGTTCTTCCCTTACCCATACTGCATTGTTCCACCAGGTTTGGTGGACATCTATTCAGTTAATTTAATATGTTATTTTGCTTACAAACAAACAAAGAGTAAAAGTTTGTAGTGTGGGATTTCTTTAACTTTAAGTGACCCCCTATACTCAGGTGCAGTACATCAACTAGGCAGCAAATTAAAGTAAGGACATAGTTCAGTTAGTAAAATCACATCAAAGTTTTTCACTAGGTATAGTGCAACTATATGCTACTTAGGTCCTGTTCCAATTCACCTTCATGAAGGGGTAGCGTTGTCCCATTTCTCTGTGTAGGTGTAGGTGTGGTGCCCATCTAGCCCTTCAAACAACCCTTTCAACCATAATGTTTTCAGGACCCCCCTAAATACAATGGGGTAGACAGAAATCCCTGAATGCTGTACGAACAGAGGAAGTGAATCAACATGGCGATCACTGAAGGTAAAATGAATAAATGTAAGTATGAAACCTTGCAAAATTATCATGAAAATGCATTTAAATCCAGCAGAATATCTTATTTTAAGCTGTCAGAACAATTATGTAGACAATCAGAATGAGAGTAACATTCAATACTCCCATGTCCCATATATGAAATTTGAAAAAAAGACCTTCTCCGCTCCATTATATAACATATATTTACATAACTGATGTAAACACACTGACTGACTGTGTATTCATCAATAGATCAATCTGTTCTGTCTGTCCTGCAGTTGTCAAATGTTTCAGTATTATACTGTTGGTTGATATTGGTTCTGTCAGTTGATATCGTTTGTAATAATGTTTGCTTGCTGCTGAGGACGTAGCAAGTGGTGTCCCTATGGGGAAACATTTTCCAGCCCTCTCATTTGTGGCTCTGTTTGGAGGGGGACACTATGGAGAAGGGCACTTCATATCTAGGGGCGGGGCCAAGGGAGAGGAATTGGAACAGTTTAGGTGGTGTGATTGTGGTCCAGAGAAAATATAAGCAACTATGACACAGACTGTCCCTAAACATTCAAAATTAAATCAAATATTTGATGGCAGGGTAGAATGGAAGACGCAGAGCCGGAGGGATCTGTAGGTCATGATTAGAAAAAGCGTTTAACAAGTGAGTTTTCTGCCTGCCTGAACGACGAAGCAATTCTATTAAAAATACAATGTGCATTGTTATGGTTAATATTGAGCACATTCATGTTTGCCAGTGGATGAACCCTTTCCATTTTAGACACACCATAGGATTCTACTCTCACATCACACCATCCTATGGTCTAGTTGTCAGTTATTTACACCCTGTTGATTTCGTCTTTTCACACAGATGTGACTGCAAAATATAATATATGTTTCCAGAAAGATAATAATCTTTAATTTGGTGACTCTGTGTCATCCAAAGGTCATATTCAACTCAGCCCCAGCTTCTACCTTGTAATCAATGATACAAGGCCAAACTACTTGAAACCACAAAGAGAACCAACAAGTCTCAAACAGAGGAAGCTATCATATCACCAGGTGTGTCATACCTGATTCTCTACCAAATGAGAAGCAACACAAAGAGAATTTCCGTTCCTCATCCAGTTGGTCATGAACCAAGTTTCAAGTAACCAATTCACAAATTATATTGTGATATTGACTTCCTGCTGTTAATGTAACAAATAAGAGGAGGACTGACATGGATTACTCTTGCTGTGATGTAATGTAATGCTTTAGTGTGTCATTGAAATACATGGATAGGCCATTTCATTTCTTAAATTGTTTCACCATGTATCATTTTAAGACCTAGTTGTAGTGCAGAAATAATGAAGAATACAATGTATGTAAAAATATTTTTCAATAAGATGATATACAGGAATTACACTGTTACACTCAGCTAATGTGCGATGCTGAAGCATGATGAACTTGATACTGACTGACATGGATCCAGTGTTGTGTGTTGTGTAATCCAGGATGCTTGATTTGAGCGTGTGACATCTGAATCATCTTCCTGCACTACCAGAACAGATGACAGGAAGAGGTGCGAAACTGGCTATGTAAGACACATCAAAAAAACACACTGATCAAAACCGTTGATGCGATGAGTAAGTGTCTTATTTTGTCTTGATAAACTTTGCACAGGCGGAGGGCTGCATAAACTTCGGCCATGAAGCAGCTCCTATCTGCTGACATCACCTAGAGGAACGAACCACAAGATAAAGGACTGTCGTCTTCTCTATGCGAGCTGGGTGAACATGCGAGACATGTATGTTTGCTCCATCAACCAACCATCCATCCATCCCACACTGGGAGCAAAGAAGGCAACGATATTTCAGACTTAGAGGCCATTATCTTTGACGGTGGGAGGGACACTGGTAACAGTGTGCTTACACCTACTACATCCATATTTGCCGTGTATGTCAATGCCACGAGGTTCCTACACCTTAGAAGTCAAACCACATGAACATTCTCAATAATGTAATGACAAATCACACAACAACAGCTCAAATGATCTCAGCACCTCTGAAGGAAGCTTTATGAAAAGTGTCTACAGTTGAGATTAATGACTTACTTACTGCTCCGTGATTTTAGATTTCAAAGTCACCTTTATATTTAGCAGCTGTGCTTCTACAGGTCTTCACCATGTACTGAACATACGCACGGACATAGCTCCAAGCACTTAGCTGCAGAGACTGCAGGGTGACTGAACAGTGAGGGTGTATATGCAAGGAACACTCAAGAATCAGAGCTACATTTTAATATTTTCCATAAAGGTCGTTTGTGGGAAGTTGTCGTTCAGCTGTAGTGAAGAGAGAAAGAGGGACTGTCTTCAACATTGTGCGTTTCATTGAGCTTGAGGCTGTTTGATGAGTTCATGATGTGTTGCCTTGCAAAGTAGGGTTCAGGCCTGGATATGAAATTCACCCAGAGATTTGAGACTTTGTTTTGTGCAGAAGTGTGTAATTAAAGACAAATGTAAGAATAAATGCAGAAAAGATGTTGTTACAGGAAATTTTGATTTATCTGCACAGGATTAGGGTTAGGTCACTACGAACTCTTGTTTTCTGTTGTGCTCTCAAAAATAGTTTATATGAAACAAAGCAAAAAGCAAAGCACCTTCACCATGGTAATAACTGTAAGGAAAATTGGGAAATTACAAAAAGAGTTTATTTGTAATAATGTTTTAGAGCATAAGAACGGAACAAAGCGATCAATGAAAAATCTAATTTCACACTGGAACAAAATTCAGCAGGGAAATTCATACTTGCTATAATAAATGAGCTTTCACAGTAGTAGTTATAGTTACCTTGTGGAGTTTATGATCAAGGGGTATCGTAATGCAACCATTTGGTCATGGATGTATTTGTATTAAGTTATTTAGTGCAATGTGCAGAATATGCACATGGTATTGCAGCAGACTGCAGAGTGTGGTTGTAACCATCCGTCACACAAGCACCAGCAGACTCTGGAGTATTTCCATTATTGTATTATGGCATGGCTTCCCTTGCAAATGCTTCTTTTACTTTCTATTTCAACTCTCTGATCAAACCGAAATATTCTTAATCTTCCCCCAAAAACTGAGCTTTTAAAACCTGGTCCGCTGAGTGTTTGAATCTTGAAATGCTCTTTGACAGTTGTTGGGGGCTGTGTGGTGGTAATGTATAGCAATTGTTAGCACATTGCTCTCTTGAGGCAGTGAAAAGGGATTGTGCTTTTGACAAACAAAAACGTGGTCGGAAATAATCCTGCTAATAAGGTTAACACTAACATATAGATCGATTTACAAACCAATATTATGACAAGAAGATTTAAAGCTGTGATAGTTCTGTCAGCTACAGGTAGGTTCTCTTCTCAGAAGCTTGCTTCTGTTTTCAGTTGTATCACTGGTTCATTTTGATTCTTCACATCCTTATTTTTTTGTACCAAGTGATTAATTGTTAAAGCAATAAGCAGTATTGCTTGAAATGAAGAGGTGGTGAACAGCTGGGTTATTTTATATGAAAAGAAACACCTGCAAGAGGACTACAGGACTGATGGGAGCTGAGTTTGTGGACCGTGAAACTAAATCAATGCGCCAATAATTGCAAAATAAGGAGAGAGGTGAAACCGCAGGTAATAGTTCACTGTGGGTTCAACACAACAAGAGATAGCTTTCACATCCCTTTCATGTGTTTTTACTGTTATTTGTAGGCACATATTAATGGATGGAGTTTAAAGCATGTGTGAGAATAGCAAGAAAAATATGTGAACAACATATAAATTCCAAAAAAATACAGATAGATTGTATTCAACTACTTCATAGTGCTGAAAGCCACTGATGGGAACCAGACATCACTGGCTTTAACATTTCTTATCTGTGCGTTGCAATGTGTGTGTGTGTGTGTGTGTGTGTGTGTGCGTGTGTGTGTATTGCACTCCTTGGAGTGAGGTTACAGTGTTATTGCATCTCAGTGCTTCCTGTTGCACTGTGTTATTAAGACTGGAGGGATGAACCACTCACTAATTGTGGGACATGTGGTAACTCCAAGATGCCATATGGACCAAACTGAGTGTGCACGAATGTACGCATGCACCCATGTACACATACAGACACACACCAAAATATCCTTAATTAGAAACCAAGTAATTAACATTGACGTTTTGAAGCTTGTAAAGTAAATTTAAGAACAAAGGCCAGCAGAGATGTTTGGCAGCTTCTGCCTGAGCTCGGCTTTAAAGCCACAGTGGTGAATGGTAGAGGCTCATATTGGCACAGTGGCTCAGCCTGACCTTCCAGCACCTGCTGGGAAACTCACAGCTTCCAGTGTATATCAGTGAGTCACTTAGCATAGGAAGAAAATAACAACTTTTCCTCAGCATGTCATACCATGAAGTATCTGTCAGCATGCTCACCTTTGAAGGCTGCACTATGACGTTTGTCGACGGATGTGCGATGTTCATGCTCTGCATGTTCCTCCTCTGTTCTTCAACTGTTTCTCCTGCAGAGCAAATAAGGCAGATATTATTCACAAAAAAATGCTAAATGGACATATGGATAATTTCAGGGTTTAGTTAAACCAAACCAGCCAATTTATACCCAAGGGCTCAGATAAAGAAAATGTTGCTTGTTCCAGATGTCTCCAAACACGGTCCTTTTTCTCTGAGGCTGAGAAGAACTGAAGCTGTTTTGAGAGGGAGGAACTACCCAGTATTAGTATGGAGTCCCATATAAAATGCTTGGTGAGTGAATGTGCTCACCAACACTGTAGCTATTGACTGAATATGCAGGCGATAACAGCACCTAAATAATGAACTACATATGTTCCAGAGAATAGAAATACAATCTGGAAAGTCATGTATTAGTATATGTCCCTCCCTATTTAGAATAGAACAAAAAAAGTGCTGCTAATCGATGCACTGTATGAATGTGTGTGTGAATGGGTGAATGGCAAACTGTAGTGTAAGGCGCTTTGAATGGTCATCAAGACTAGAAAAAGCGCTTTATAAATACAAACCATTTATTTTAAGGTTACGCTGGAGGCCTGGTAGCAGGCTGCTGTAACTGAGCCAATTCATTAGATCCCCCTTGTCAAGTGGCTGAAACACTGAGTGAGAAGAGGCGCTGATGGGAGGACAAAGTGAGAAGGTACTGGTGTTACCCTCCTATTCCTCTGCAGGGCTGAAATTGTCCACAGAATGAAATTGTTCACGTTGCCTCTGTCTCACCTCCTGTGTCTCTGCAGCTGATTATTTATAGAGACATGTTTTCCTCTGGGAATCAACAAGGCCCAAAGCTTTCTTTTCTGATCCAACACCAGCACGTATAATGTTTCTCACCAGTTGTCTGGCATGTTTCCTCTTATTATGATCACAGAAGTTTCTTACCAGAATGAAACAGTCACAGCTCACTTTATGTGACTTTCTATCTATCAAATCTTTCTTTCCCACAGAATAAATCCAGGTTGTTCTCTATATAGTATTTTTGTACTATTTCGATTAACATGTTTTAATTTTTATCTATATTGTATGCAAAGCCCTTTGAGCTGCATTTCTTGTATAAAAGGTGCTATACAAATAAAGTTTATTATTAATATAATTGATGTAATGAGAAACTCGACGAGGGGACACATTGTCGCTTGGTTCTGTTTAACATTGCATTGGAGCCGCTGGCAATTGGCATTAGGCAGATGATAAATTAAAGATATCAAGTTGGGCAGTATGATACAAATAGAGTATATAAATTCCTGTTTTGCAAATATTTCTGGTTATATCATAAATTGGATTAAGAGTAAATTCATGTTTTCACTGAATCAATTTTCTGAAAAGAATGCATTTTAGAGTAGCAGCCTGTTTCCCCTGCTGGGGTTTAAACTGATCAGGAACCCAAAGCTTTAACTTAACCAGTAGAAAAATTCTAAGTAATTGGGAGGATGCTGGGGGATACTGCCTTTATGCATGATTGAACAGCTAAATATAATATACACAGGTTTCTATATCTTTTTGTATTCATTGCCACCTGCCATTTTATAGTCATCATATATTCTATTAACTCCATATTTGAAACGAATGTGTTTTCATGGTTTTTGTTCAACTGTTTTGCTTTTGTAAATGTGTTTGTGAAAGATGCAATACAAATACAGATTGTTATAATTACGAACAAACATTTATATGATTCTTCCAAAACCATAAGAGAGCTGCAGTGCTTGTTATAAACGTTTCAAGCTCCATTAACACTTCAGCCACAGACCTATAAGTGTCCAGTGACGATGGTTGACATAAGTTTTTATTTTAGTGTTATGACCAATAACCAAACACATGTAAGAGATGATGATGAACAGTCCCGTGCACTTTCCCCAGCCTCAGCTTATTTGCTATACTGAGGAACCATACAACTGTTATTCAGCCACGCAAAGTGCTATAAGCTCAATTTTGGTCATTGGTTCGGTTCTGTTCAGATGGAAGGAACGTCAGGTGAGGTATTTGAGAGAGCTGTATTTGGGATGCCTTGTAATCACTGACATGTTTCGTTTTATAGGGATCATCTTTCATTAAAAAACAGGACTGGATGGTAAAGGTGAATGTCTGTGAGCTCAATTCGTTGCCTCCGTCTGAAAGAATAAACCTGGCACTGACACCTGCTCTCTTCTGCCAAAATAACGTCCTGACCATCTGTGACAGCTCCACCAGCTCCTCCTGTTAAAGCTTCGAGATGGATTAACATCAAATAAAACTGCATTTCTCAAGATGAAGTATGTTAACTTCATGACCTATAATAAGATTTATTTAGGATTAACCTGGATGCATGTAGATTTTTGTAGTTTTATTTTTAAAAGAATTATTGAAAAATTGAAAAGAAAGCTAAAATAAGAATGTTCAATATCATTTGTCACTGCTCAGAAAATATTAAAATATAATATTATGAACTTCAACTATACCCAATCTTGTCATGCTATGGCAGCAACACTTTATTTCAGGGAATGTTTAATGTTTACCGCATTAACTCGTGTGTTAAGATCATTTGCTGTTTTATGAGTGACATGATGAAGAGAAGATTATTTTGACAAATGTATACTGATTTAAAGTAAATTCATGGTATTTCTCATTGGATGGAGATGCACACTTAGAGAGTGTCTGTTATGTGACCTTGGTATGAAACATGCTTTAATAGGTGGCCAAATATGGGGGATATTGAAATCCTTGTACACTGGGGTGAGGGTAACAAATCTACTGTTTCCAAGGTCAACAAAGTTTAACACTCGAGAAATCTGTGAGTAAACAGATTTGATTTGAAACAGATTAGCGGTGCAAAACAAAACCACAATCTGAGGAAGTTGTGAAATCTGTGATACTTTCGGATATTGTCACGCAGTAAAGGATAATCATGAGACAATGAGCACAACACAGAAATGCCCTGCTCTTTCTGTACCAATATTTCCTGTCAATTCTCAGTGACATCACATCTGTAAAACTCTGCATATCGGCAGGCTAAATAACAGAGAATGATGAACAGCAGTGTAACCCTGATTGTCTAACTAATGCCAGTTTATTTTATTTCATTGTACATATTTATTTAGGTTGTTCATCTGTAATATTTTGACTCTCGTCAATTACTAATCAGCAATCTAGCAGTTGCATTTACATTTTAATTAACTGGGTTTAAACTAGATAATAGTTAATACAGTACTTGATACAGTAATTAATGATAAAATATCGTATCTACACAGACATTTGCATGTAGTAGAAAAATCAAGCTTTAAACTATGATATATCACACCAACCATCTAACTTACTACATTCTGTGTTTCCCTTCACTCTCTACCATTGCACAGGAATAATTACAACGAATGCACCAATCTGACACTAAAATCGAATATCGGCCCGATACTGATTAAATAGCTAGATCAGGTATCGGATAATGGGGCTGATCCATGGAGCAGATCTAGTGACTGTAATTCTATGTTTGTGGCACGTGTTACATCATGCGTCTGCAGCACGTCCAGCATGCTGGTGGACTTGACTCACAACAAACACATAGAGCAACAACATGGAGTAAGCCAAAGAGTCCGTTGTATGGAGGTATTTCACGCTTGCCACACCAGCAAGTTTGACAGCAACTTGCAATGTCTGCAAGGAAAATGTTGCGGAAGGGGGGGGGGCTGCTACCACTGCAAAATACAACACAGCAAACTTAATCCAAAAAAAGTTTGTAGCTATTAGCATAGGTGGATTCAATTCAGGCCTCATTCATGTTATATGTTATGTTTATGTGTGAACTATTATCACCATTTACTGTGTTTACGCTGTTACTTACCTGTAAGAGCATACTGACAAAAGATGTGTGTGTGCCTCATGTAATATTATGTTGTACTTACCTGGTTTATAACCTGAAAAGAAAGAAGAAAGTGTGACCAGTGTTGTTACATGTATTTAATTTCAATTGTAACATTATGTGTATTTTCATTGTGTTGCAGTTTTACAAAAAGAGTCTCAGGACATTTCAGTACATCGTTCTCAACCTGGAATCACACCTACTGGGTCTTTCTTGTTAGCTATCTGTCTACAAATACAGCTCACGTATTATCCAGGACAGAATACTGTGCATTTTGTATGTTTGACCATGTTGTTAAGCTACTTTATCAGTCTCTTCCATACAGCAAGGTATACAGTTTATTAATTCAACAATGGTATCAGCCAATAAGCAGAGCCCAGGAATCAGTATTGTATTGAGAGTGAAAAAGTAAAATCCATGCATCCCTAATAATTACTGCTTTATGCTCCAGATGTGAGAAAAATTAAGTGACCAGTTTAATGGTGTTAGTGAAAACACCAACATGCCAGGTTCATGTGTGCTGATGTCACTCACCGATGATGACAAAGCCTCCATCTGCCTCCTTCTCAGATGTTGACTTCTTATTATCTTTTCGCAGTCCGAGGAAACTGAACATGACGACTCTCTGTCAACGCAAGAGGAGAAAGGTTAGAGCAGCAGCCTCAGTGTGTGTATAGATTGGGATAATGTGGATACGTATGCATGCTCATTTGAGGATTAAAGGTTCGGTGTGTAGAATTTAGTGACATCTAGAGGTGAAGTGTCATGTTGCAGCTGAATACTCCTCATCTCACCCTCCCCTTCCCAACATGAAGAAGAACCTGTGGTGAACTTCAGTTGTCATGAAAACTCAAACGGTTTTAGTTTGTCCAGTTTGGATGACAGTAAAAAACATGGCGGCCTCCGCAGAGAGGACCCCCCACCCCTCCATGTAAATATAAAGTATTTAAATATAAAGGTCCATTCTTTGGTATAGAAGACAACAATTCATACAATTTTGTTGATTACACACCAGTAAAAACATCACTAGGATTATTTTATAATCAATTTCTGCCATAAAATCCCTTTCACCTAAATCTTACACACTGGACCTTTAAGTTAAAGCCTATCTTGGAGTTGTGATGTCATCCACTGCGATTTGTTTGATTATGTTGGAAACTGAAACTACAATCACTGGATTACGCCTCAAGTTTGAAAATCGAATGTTACTTTGTTAGCAACGATGAACGAAGAGGACATTTACTCCCTTCTCCAACATGGAGCTGTTGACAAGTATGTTCAGCATTTCTCTGGAGAACAGTGTGGCTCGTGGTTCATAATGCGATCGCAGTCCGGATGGAGAATTCACTTCAAGTAAACATAAACACGTGACCGTTCCTGAAGTCACCATACCTGTTGTTCGTGGATTAAATGTCTTCTTCTAGCAGTCACGAAAATAACTGTCTTCCTCCAAAGTGATACGACGAAAGTGGATGAGCAGATGTCGTTGTTCCGTGACATTAAGTTCGGGTTAAAACATTGAGATCACTTCACGGTTCCATAACGTTTCAGTTCCGGTGAGTTTGGATTCATCCGGTTACGTTCAGCTCCGTGGTGAATGCGTGAGCTTCGCTGAACACGCTTTAATGTCTGAACTGCTTCAGCTGTTTCATCGCTGTTGTTGTGCTCTGCTTTTGACGTCACTGACCTCTACGGTGTGCTTGTTCGTGTAGAAACTATGACTGTCACTTTCCTTTCTGCTGCAGTTGACACTGCCGGCAGCAGCAGCCGGAACCTTTGGTTGGTGTTTCCGGGGAGCTACATGCTAAAGCGCAACGACGGATGTGTCGTAGGAGAAGCGTAGGTGCGCTCGATTTTCACGCCCGGGTTTTGCTTTGCTCGCGAGTCGAGGCGGGTTTCAACGTTTCAACGTCATTTTAGAGACCCCGCCCGCTCGCGCTGCCACGCGACCCAAACTGCAAACACCGAACCGTTTCCCGCGCTCTGCCTCACTGTCCGGACTCCAGCGGCGTCACGACAAGAACCCGCCAACATGGCAGGAATCATAGATGTCCCCAAACCGAGAGTGAACTGCTCCATGTTGTCGCAGCACACCAACAGACCCGTGTGCTTCGTAGGACGCGTCGAAAAGGTCGGTGTCCCCTGCGGCCAAGAGTTATTAACGAGGGACGAGGCTCCTTGAATGTCCGCGACGCTCAGTGTTGCTTTTCTGCGTTGACAGGTTCACCCAACAGGAAGGACGTTCACCGTGTCGGATGGAGAAGGGAAGGTTGCCACAGTCGAGCTAAACGACCCCGTGAGTACTCCAGCGACGTCGCGACCGAGCGGGGCTTCAGTCTGACTGACGGACCTGCAGAGAGGCCATTGCGCCTTAGTTTCTGGAGTTATGCACGCGTCGCCATTTTTCTTTTCAGTCCCACAGTGCGTTAGCGACATTGGTGTCACTCTGATAGTTAACGTTCTTAAAGGTTCAGTGTGTAGGATTTAGTGACATCTAGTGGTGAAGTTGCATGTTGCAGCTGAACACCCCTCACCTCACCCTCTCCTTCCAAACATGAAAAAGAACCTGTGGTAGCTTCAGTTGTCATAAAAACTCAAAAGGTGTTTAGTTTGTCCAGTCTGGACTAATGTAAAAAACATGGTGGCCTCCAAGGAATGCACCCACTCCAGATAAATAAATCATTTTAATATAAAGGGCCCATTCTACGGTCAAGAAAACAACAATTCGTACTATTAAGATGATTAAACATTATTGTGATTATTTTATATTCAATGTCTGCCTGTAGATTCCCTTCACCATAATCATACACACTGAACCTTTAACAGGAGGGAATGAAAACCAACCTGTTTGTTCAAAAAGACACTTAATGAGAATTATCCCCAGTACATTCAGTCTCCAAGCCCAGCAACTGAGGGTTTTTTTGTATGACGTGATACAAAATAAGGTTTTACATGGATTTGTTTTATTGTAATATGTATTTTCTTTTATAAATGACAAATCAGAGGATTTCAGTAAATTCTTGTGAACGGGGTGCTCAAGGGATTATCCAGAAGTTGTTTTGTGGTAGAGGTGTAACCTGCACGTCATGTCAACCTCTGTCACGTGAGGGGTTGTGTCACAGACTTGCTGTCAACCCCTGGGTTGACGAAGTGTCAGCTGGGATGATGCACTGAACTCCTGGCTGCAGAGTTTCACATGCCAGCCCCTTAGGAAACTCTCTGGATACTGTCTGAAACTGCCTTCAGACATGCACTGAACTCCAGAGATCCTCCAGACATTCTTCGAAGGCGCTGTATGTGTGAACGCCGATGTCAGAGGGAGAGTCTCCTGACTTTCGGCAGACTATCTTTGGACAGTCCCCAAGTATAACGTCGACTGAAAGTGTGCAGGAGCCGCTGTGAGAACACAGCAGGAAATCATCTGCTGGATTCCCAGCAAGCAAGTGGGGGTGTTGATGATGTTTCTATCACACGGCTGACGCAAACGTGAAAAAAACAAAATGAATACAAATATATCAGGATGAAAAAGTGGTGTCACCTACGTAGAAGACACTGACAAACATGTCAAGAGAAGTTTTGATGCTAAGGACCGACGTCAGTGTTGATTTGCTGTATACAACATCGTGATCATCTCCAGCAGCGGAATTCATTGGTAACTTCCTCTGCCTGCTGCACCTGCTAGAGACATCTTTGTTGTGAATGTGTTGTGAGTGGAGAATGTCCTGCTGTGTTTTTCATTTGTGAAAGGCAAAGGCCAGAGAGCGGCTTAAGAGATTAATGTTATTTCATTATTGCATCAGAACTCACTAAAAAGGTGAACCTCTTTTCCGTCAACAAAGTAAGGGTATTTAAATTCTGTTTTCTTTACTTATTTTCCAGCTTGAAGAAGAGCTGAGCGGCATTGTGGAGTTGATCGGTATGGTGTCCAACAAAGGAGGAATAATGGCCACAACATACAACTTGCTGCGAGAGGACAAGGGCATCCCCTTTGGTAGGTTACATTTTACAAACAGATAAAGTGCTTGTCAAACAGCAACATTCATCCGTTTTGACTCGTTGTGTCCCACAGATCTGGAGCTCTACAATGAAGCCCTGAAGGTCGTCCATGATTTCCCTCAGCACTACCCTTTTGTTGTGGCTTCCAGTGGATGAGCGTGCACATTTAAAGATTTGTTCTCTGAAGTTGTTAGTTTTTGTGTCTAGTTTCTGTTCTCAGAATAAGATTTTCTCTAATTTGTAATATTAAATACGATTTTTTTACAATAAAATTGAAACCCTGAAAGAATAATCTCTCCTTTTCCCCCTTAAATGTCCAACATAAAATATTATCTTTTGTTCAAAGCAGGAATAAAACAGACTGATCCAAGAACCTGAGTTTATAATATCTGTACTCTAAATAGTCATGCTGCAGTAACAACTATATTCTAAAAAGTAAATGCTTCTTTTAAGAAGTTTTACAAATTCCAATTCAGTTTTATTTGCGTATTACCAAGTCATAAGATATAATCTCAGGGTACTTTAAATATTCAGGTCAGAAACTTTGGTGAGTGGAGAAAAATGGGGATTGAATAGTTCTGTAGCCATCACATTTAAACTGTCAGTTTGTTAAAATGTACATAATTAAGAGTGGTATTTATAAATGTAGTAATTTGATCAATGATTGCAACAGTCATTATAAATTAGATCCAATTATTTTTTTCAAGCATCTATATCTCGCCCTCCATAACTGCATTGTTCGTGCCCTGATATTTTATACTGTAGGCGACCACTGTGTTGGCTTTGAAAGTGTTCATAATGTCCCTAACACTGAATAAATAGCAGTTTAATGAAATGTTTGGTCTCAGTGAGGAGAGCTGGATAGTTCTCATGTTCTGGAATACCAGCAGAGGTGATGCCTCTTACTGTGAACATGAACTGGATCGGACAGCAGGGGGCAGTGTGAGCAAAGGTTCCTTCATCATGCCCTCAAGCGAATTTGTTGAATTAAACTCAAGTTTCTATTGATCTATAACTTAAGAGTATCCATTACCCAGAAAGATTAGATTTCTATCTACTAGCATTAATAACTTATTTATAGAAAACACGTTTTGATACGTACGTGAACGCCAGTGCTATTAACAGAATATTCAGTGTGGAATATTTATTTCTAAATGTGAGAGCAAATTAACAGTGCAGTGGAGAGTTTGATTCTATATCTTATTGCCATCTGAGTACAGGTATTTGCCCAATGATGGAGAGCTGTTCAGCTCAGTGACATACAGGTTCCCAGCATCATCCTTTCAGTTACATCATCATCATCACACAACCTGGACCTGCAGCCTCCGTGAGGTCAGTGCCCTCTATCTTAACATAAAGATGACTTTCAAGAGACAGGGGAGTGTCCACTGTTGTTGCACAGAATCCAGGATGTGCGAAAAAGTGATTACAATGAAAAAAAGAAAATATAGTCCAGGAGCTGTTAGGCAGAAAAGGTAATGGAATCCAAACAACACGCAGCAATTAATATTATTAAAAATAAAGTCTAATCAGTTTGTTTTCATTCCAATCTGGATACAGTCTCCTCGAAAACTAAGAAATGACCTTTAGGTTAAATACTGAGCAATAAACATGTTACAAAAATCCAGAATTTCAGCTTTTATTTTCTGGTGTTTACGTCTAGATTTGTTTAACAACTCAGGACACAGCAACTTTTTATCTGAACTGAACATTAGCCTGTCTGATGTGATGGCTGGAACTGCTTCTCTTTGGTCAGGCATCTGATATACCATGGTAGTGATGCTGCTGCTGCTGCTGATGATGATGATGATTACATTCCTTGAAATAACTTTCTTCGTTCAACACATTTTCCATAATCTGCTCTGTGACAGTTCCTTGAGACAAACTGAAACTCTGGAACAATTGCTTGTCTGGTTCTAACCAACAAGCATCAACAAGGCTCCTTCACTAATTCTCCTTCTGAATGAGGTTTCAGCTTCTTGTTGGACCCAGACTCCACTGAAGAGCCTCAGCTTTTTTAAGGAGTATTTATCCATGTCCCTCATCCAGTTTAATATGTTTCCTAGCTTTTGATGCTGCGATTAGTCTTTCACATTGAGCATACTAGCATGTCTTTATTCTTTCCCCTATAGGAAAGGGCAGCATTCCACATTTACTGTTCTCTTCTCGACAGTCACCACGATGTCTGTCAGCGATTACATGTAACACTAACTAATATGTTTTTCTTCACCCTGACTGTAAGCTAACAGGCATACAGCCAGAAGGTCCCACCCTGAACGACATGTTAATCTACTATTTTATATGATTTCCTTTTGTTTTAACACAAAATAACATACACTTCCTGCTTTTTCAGTTATGTATTGCCGCTGGGCTAGATCAGATTGTTTCGCAGTTTGTATCTGGCCCACAGGCTAAAGATTCCCCACCCCAACACCTGGGCGACAAGAAACATCTGTTATATGTTTTGACATATTTTCCAATATTTCTGCTCACTTGAAAATGAGGGATTTCAAATCGAGATGTTGATGTAAATGAAAATGGGTCATAGCACATCACATAAGATGTAACACATGATATCCAAACAGAAGACGTAGTGATGTTAGGTCTCTACGAAATAGTAGTTGATAACAGTACACACCATTGTATTGCACTGATCAAAATTCTTTATGACATTATGATTCTATTCACCCTCTCATAAAAAAAAGAATGCACCAAACAGCCAGTTCCCACAGGTCTAAAATATTTGTTATTTAGATTTGGACAAACTCCACATATGATACATGACTGAACTTGTAGCTGGATATTGTTTCTATTGCTCCAAACAAAGCCAAGTCGACTGTTGCTTTAGGTTTAACATTCACTGTAAAGACGTGTGCATCAGTTTTTTTTCATCAGTGTCCCTATCTTAGCATTATATCATTCCATTTTTGGAGTATTATTACTATAGCTTTAAGTTATCAACTCTTCAGGTTAGAAAATGTATAGTCAACATGTGTCGTGAGATTAAATTATAGGATTAATTCCCTGAACAAAAAACATGAATGATCAAATGAGACAGACATAAATAAACGATGTCAGTAAATGAAGAAAAGCTGAATAACTGCATGAAACAATGATGGAAACATCAGTGATCATCAGTCTGTGGTCAGTCATGTCTTCATGGTGACTATGAAGAGGCTAAAGAAAAGAGCTGTTTCTTAAGACAAGTTGTAGATAGAATGTAGGGGAAGGTGTATAAATGTTAGCGACAAATGATTCCACAGTTTACCCTCAACAACTGAAATCTTTGAATTTGACCCCGATGAGTGGAATGGAGAGCAGTGATTGGTCAGCAGGTGTTGAGGTGGAACAGTGGAGGATGTAACAGGAGGTCACTTCATGCACATCTTTAAATCACTGTGCTAGAAAGTTGTCAGTAAGGAGCTTCAGATGGAGAATTTTGAATTGTTACATATATATTTTTTATAATACATCTTTTTGGTGAATCATTTTTCAATCACTGCACATATTGCTTCATACAAAAGTTAACAATAGAATATTTCCATCTGAAATATATTAATATACACATAGACCAGTGATGATGTGAGTGAAACATTTTCAAACCATTATTCTTCTTATTATCTTCAATCATAACTATACTGCCCACACAGTTTCCTGGTCAGAAAAGAGAAAAGCGAATGGAAGCATCAAATTCATTTCTCTGGATTGTCATGAATCAGCACTGTACGGTTCCAGAGTCTTAGGGGTGAGGAGATGTTGCAATGGTTTAAATGTGTAAGTCTCCGTCCACAGAATGATTAATACCAGCCACATCAGAATAGTGACATACTGTGATCAAATGAATGGCAAACCAGTGAATGAATGTGTATTTCATTACCAAAGAGGCAAGGTGGTAATGTCACCTGCAGTAAAAGAACTAAGTATACGCCTGCCACAGTCAGTCAGTTGATGGGTGGGAGAGAGTAGCCTGGAGGAAAGCAGCTGCCGTGTCCAACAAGTTGAGACACTACTGTTAATGTTGCAGCCTCTGCTCCATCTGCTTCCACCCACTGACACACTGTCATGGAAACATCATTTCTGCCACTTCTCTGCCACACACACACATAATTTGGCTCATAAACCCCTTAAACAAAAAAGCTAGTCTTGGTTACACTTTATTGTAATAAATGGGAAGTCACAACATATCTTTATTATTATAACCCCCCCCCCCCTCCATTTGTTTGCCCATCCCTCTCCATCAATACCATCTTAACTCCCGCCCCTAAACACAAACTTTCAAGGTAGAACACATAGCCCAGCACCTTCTGAGCCTACATGCAAAGTGGGACATCAAGAAAAATAAATCAGGAATAAAACAAATAAAATAAAATAAAATACAGAGAACAAAATCTCCTCCTGTGGAATTCAGCCATCAACCCTTGGTCAGGGAATTGCCTTCCAAAGTATATTAGATATTCTGGATTCCACATTATTCAGGGATGGAGTCCAAATAAGATAGAATACACCAATTTAACCTCTGGACCAGTATGTCAGATATTTAATGGGTAAAAGATAGAATATTACCTCATGCCACTCTATGAGTGGTTTATTTGAAATCTATTTTAGTAAAATGCAAATACGTGCAGTATAGCACTTGACACTTTCCGCCTTTTCTGTCTGTTGGTCCTCTTGATTTACGAATGTGGCATACTGGATCCCAGTGTAGTTCTTTGTGGAAGATTTGATTTAACGATAAAACCACTTTTACCCGAAGCTTGATTAGTCACTTTGATCTCATTGATATCATGAATCTCGAAAAATGTCAGACATCTGTCGCCATGTCTGATGTATTCATGTTCTGCTGACTTTTGTCAAACAAAACAAGATATTTTATGTGAAGCCCAACCACAAAATTGGCACATTAATCAGTAACACGCTATGTCCTGAAAGCCAGAGATATATTTGAGATGATGTCGATACTGTTGCAACTGTGAAGTGAACATTGTCCCATAAACAATTTTATAATTATATTCATTTAAACTCTGAAATACTTAGATCAGTTAAGACCTCTAAGATCCACTATCATTCAGGCTCTACTGTACAGACATCATCGTGATCACAATTCTTTCCATTTTCCTGACTAATTGATATAATAAACAAGTAATTTATCAATAAATAATAAATGTATAGTTAGGAAACTCAGACCACTAGTAATTTTAGACACAGATTGGCAAACACTGATATTTCAATGCAGCATTAATATATTTTGTATCCACTTGAGGGCAACAGAACAAGCTGAGCACAACATAA